GTGCTGTCCAGTTATACTGAGCAACTACATGGAGGTATCACCCACTTATTAACTGTGGCCACAAGAGCCTTATGATTTCTGGAAGATGGATTTGACTCTTTACAAATATTGGAAAGCCCAAGGCCTTCCACAAGATTTCTGAGAACCCCAAGAAAGCTTGCATTCCCATGTGCTTCTTCTCTGGCTCTGAGCTCTTGTTTTTGCTGAATTAGTTCAATTTAAGGATCCTCTCATTTTCTTGCTATCATTGTCACTGACAGAAAATGTTTCCCTTTCCTCAACTTACACAATCCCAAAATAAAATAAAATCCACTTACATAGGTATTTATAGGGATATCAATGGAAGGTTTAGGAAGATGGATTTACATTTCAAGTGCAAACAGCTTAAATATTAGCAATTAGTATTCCCCAAATGATGCTCCTGCTTCTGCTTCCCTTCTCTGATATTTTCTCCTCTATTCTCCTTCTGTCTGACCAACCAACTTTTTAAATTCTCATTTAAAAAAAAATCATCATGGTTGCTAATTAACTCAGATGCTCAGAGTTTTAATTTCACTTTAAGCAGTTTATTTAAAAATGGTCCTGGGGCATCTGGGTGGCTCACTCAGTTAAGTGTCTAACACTTGATTTCAGTTCAGGTCTTGATCTCAGGGTTGTGGAACTGAGCCCTGGGTGGGGAAATCCCCTGTTCAGTGTGGAGTCTACTCCTCTGCCCCACCTCCTGCATGCTCATTCTTTCTCTCTCTCCTCACAATTAAACAAATAAATCTTAAAATATAGTGGTCTTAACAGAAGTCTGATTCCTCCTCTCAGAATATTTCTAGCACCAGCTGATAAATCCAAATCTCCACCCATTTTTTTTTTTTAACAATAAAGCATTAAATTTGCCCCCTCTGTAGAACAATAGTGGTTTACCTTAACCTCCTTTGGGGCCCACAGCTCAGAAAGTTGGAAAGGAAGTTTGCCTCACTCTCAGTTTTAGATGCCTACAAGCTGCCTTGTTTTGACTGTTGCCATCACCACCATCCCTGCAAGTGGATTTGCCTGGGAACTGGCATGAGAAAGAGTGGAAAAAGAAAAAAAAGAAGAAGAAAAGAAAATATGGGTATTTCCCCCACTGTCTCTGAATATTAGGAGACCCCTAGACTGTTCCTCAAGTCAGAACTAGAGGGAGTCGTCTGGAGTGCTCTCAACATTCACTTCCAGATTTGGGCCAACCGTAAGTCTGGGCAGGTGAATACCAAAGTGGGGAACAAGATAAAGCCATCACTTCTATGGGGTACTTCAAATTCTGTCCTTCTTCCCCAATCTGCCTGCTACTAATTACTTCTCAGAGTCCTCTAATAGCTTTCCCATGAGTTCTGTTCAGGCTTATAGTTCTACCAGTGGGAAAGACGGAGGAAGTACTCTATCTCACCCGTAACTAGAACCTGGTTAGTGAGTTTAAGTGATTTTGACTAACAACTGATTAGAATGGCTCTGCTTACATGTATATATCTGTTTTCAGATGGTTATTTTTGTCAAAATAATTTCAATAGCAAGCTGATGTAACCAGTACTCCATCAGGTGTTTGACTGATTTAGTCATCATGATGGCTATATATGTCATATGCCATATCTCCTCCTCTTTATTTACAAAGACAAGTCTAAAACATATTGAATATGTACTCTATGTATTTTCTAAGCATTTTGCATATATTAACCCATTAATCTTAAAACAAGCCTATGAATTAACTACTCTGAATTCATAGATATAGACCCTGAAGCATGGAAAACTTGCTCTGAGTACCCAGCTAGAAGGCAGAGTCAGATCCAGGATCCAAATATTGGCACAAGGGTTCCACAGTCTTTGCTCTTAACCAATATACTATATGTCTTTCCTGGTATAAAATAATTAATATATAGCATGCTATGAGCTGAACTGTGTCCCCTTCAAATTTCATATGCCAAATTCTTAATCCCTAGTACCTTAGAATTTGACTATATTTGGAGATAGGGTCTTTATGGAGGTGATTAAATCTCAATATTAAAGTTAAAATGAAGTCATATGGCTGGGCCCTAATCCGATATGACTAATGTCCATATAAGAAGAGGAAAATTTGGACATGGACATACATGGACAGAAGGAAGACACTGTGAAGACATGGGGAAAAGATGACCATCTAAGAAACAAAGAGAAAGAACTGGAACAGAATCTTTTCTCCTGGACTCTCAGAAAGAATTAACCCTAACAACACCTTGGTCTTGAGCTTCTAGCCTCCAGAATTATGAAAAAAATAAATTTCTGTTGTTTATGCCTCTCAGTCTATCCTGCTTTGTTATAGCAGTGTGAGCAAGCTAATATGGTAGGATACATTTAATCCTCAAAATACCTAAGAAAATGATTGAAATATTAAAAATACTCAGTAAATACATGTTGGTCTATTAATATTTGAATCAATTAGGTAAGTTGAGGTAGGTAGATAACGAATTCGATTTTTATCTTAAAAAGATATTTGTCAATGTAATTTTCATATCTCAAAGTAAGAGCTAGTTCTGTGGAGTCAAGCTAGACAACAGGAGAATATTGGAGAGAAGAGGATAGACCCTCCCAGAACAGGCAACAAGATATAAGCTAAAGAGCCATAGGGATGGCAGACAAGATTCCCTACAAGAGAATGGGCCATAATGGGAGAGAGCCATCATTTTTTTCTTTTTTTCTGACATTTAAACCACTTGTACTGAAAATCCAATACATAGTTTTTCTTTTTTTTTTCCTACACAGTTTAAATATACTGGCATTTCTTTAGCACTTTTTAAATACTTTAAGATCTACTTCATTTGTCATTTAAAATTTAACTCTCTTCTATAAAACTAAATGCTTCTTCTAGTAACACTTTGGTGTGGCTGCTTACTCCTAAAAGATATGGCTAGGGGAAATGGGACATAAGATTGTGGGTGTTAGAATAAATCTCTGAACATGTGGGCTTGTTCCAGAGACTGACTAAGGCTCAAGGGGAATGTTGGCCACAATTATGAAGATTAGATCTGCTTGTTTACTCTAACATGATGGCCAGAAGCAAACCTCACAAACTCTATGCATTTTTTTCTTTTTTCTTTTCCCCCCTGTGAGAATTAGCAATTATGCAAAGAGACAATAAGAAATGAAAGACAGGAAACCTCTGTAAAAGATGAAAACTTGAGCACATTCACCCCCATCACTATTATAGTGCTAAAACCAACAAAGGAACATAAGCAAAGAGAAAATGCATAATAAACAGAGAACCAGGAAATGGTGCCATTAATGTGCCATAAATGTCAAAGAATTGTTATTGCATATAGCATATATGAGACCATATTAGAAGAGAAGCTGGATAATAAATCTCAAAATGAAAAAATTTTGTTTTCCTGAGAGAAAAAAAGGACTGTGATGTTGCAAGAAATGATCCAGAAAGGAACGCAGAAAGATTTTAAAATTGGAGGTCAAAGGGATGTAAGGAAGAGGGAGGATCGTGAAAGAAATGAAGAGCTTAAAACTTTGAGGTTTTTTATCTGTCTGGGATCAAGTGAGAATCAAACCAGCCACTCCAAACTGGCAATGGGCAAGTGAGGTCGCAGCAATGGGCCAGCAGACTGCTTCTCCCTAGTATAGCCAGGTTCTTCTCAGCTATAGTGGGCAGGGATACAAGAAAAAATAACATACCTACAGCTGATGCCAGGAGTTTGAAGCCTATACAAACAGAAATTGAGTATGTGCATTGAGTAGAAGAATGACATGGAAGAGAGAAGAAAATGTGTCAAAAATGAATTATTTTCGAAGTAGAACTCAGTACGTGGGCTTCCTTCCAACCCATCCCATTTCACTCCAAATAGAGTGACATATCAACAATCGGTGATGCAAAATTTTGTCTACAAAGTCTTCCATTTAACAACAGAGAGGAGGATTCCAAGAGCATCTGGGAGGAAAAATAGTAGATAAAATAAAAGTCAGTCCATTCTATTTGGGAAAACCATGCCAGTCATGAAAAAGGTCTTTATTCAAAGAAAACATAGCAGAAAAAAAGATACCGATGAGTGGTCTGCTAAAATATTTTGCAACAAACAAAAAAATCAATCACATGGACAAAAGACAAGATACATTTCTCAAAAGATTTATTTATTTATTTTAGAGGCAGGGAGGGGCAGAGAGAATATCCAGCAGACTCCTTGCTGAGTGAAGAGCCAGACACAGGGCTCAATCCCAGGACCCTGAGATCATGACTTGTGCAGAAATCAAGAGTCAGATGCTTAAGCAACTCAGCTATCCAGGCACCCCAGGCAAGGATACATTTTTAAAACAAAAATATGGTTGAGGAAATAAAAATGAAGTTTATAGATTATCTACTTTGTAATTTTACTCAAATGCTGACTTTAAGAAAATTTGGAAAAAGAAGATGATAAGACTACAGAATATAACAGACAATTGGTTAGTGTGTAAATCAGGGAATGTAAAAAAATTAATAGTCAATAGGGTTTTAAAATATTACAGTACAGGCCGTAAAATAATTCATGAAACTTGATCAGGACACAGTGAACAGTGAACAAAGGTATAAAATATGAACAATTGATCTTCCCAAAGAAATGTTGAAAATAGAAACAGAAACAAATGGTTAAAAACAAAATCATGAAGCCAATCATTGTGAGCTGAAGAATGATCTAACAATGATCAAGAGAATAATATAATTCAGAAAAAAAAGGAAAAGGAAAAGCATTTAATGTTTATCTAGTAATTTTGATTTAAAAAACAAAAAAACAAAATAGGATGAGAAGACAATCTGGCTGCAACATCCGTCACCCTATTGATCTCCAGAGTTGATCTGGCTGATCTGGTTGGCTAGGTGGGTGTCCCTTTCTTCCCTCACCACTCATGTGCCTCCCTCCTCAAGCTGCCTGTGCACTTGGTCAGGGAGGATGACCTTCCCAGATAGATGAGGACCATTCTTTGGTCAAGGGTATAGGAGTAGCAGCTAGAACCTCCAATCTCTCAAGATCCATTTGTAGGAGAATGTAGGGTAATCAAGCTTCCAAGACTCCAGACACACCCAAATGAGGCGCTGCATGTGGCAGTCTGCCTTTCTTTAAAACAAAAACAAAAGATAAAGAATGAACTCACTATAGAAATAAGAGTCTGAACTAATTAAATTTGCCTATCAATAAATAGGTCAGTATTTTGTCTTCCAGTCGTCCTTAGGTTGGCTGACCCATTACACATGGAGGATACTGTGCTGAGGCAGAAACTGGATGCAGGAAATAAAACCAGGTATTAAAGGAACCCCTAATTGTAGGCTGCTACAACATAGAGAATAAAATAAACCAAAAGCCCCATTATGATCCAGCAATTAATTTCTCTGAATTTCCTATCCCCATTAATCCATTTGTGTTTTTCACTGAAAATGTCAACTCTAACCTATAGGTAGCTCTATAAACAATCCAGCAGAGGCTGGAAAAGTCTACATACTAGGGAATAGCCAATGATAAGCAGATAAAAGAACATAGAGAACCACACCAGAACCCTTCAATTAGAGAAGGAGGCTTTGGATTCAGCCCAAGTCTGAATTGGGCAGAAATATGATAGCAGCTATGCTAAACTTAGGGCTGGCAGTCTTCCACTTTCCTGGAGGAGGACCCTTGCCTGATATCTGCTCCTGCTCTTTGAACTCCAAAGGGAAGTTTGCCTCCTGATGCAAGCAAAACTTGCTTTATTCCTATTCTCATGTGCCCCCATAGCAATTTTTCATGCTTAGAATAAGGGAGGAAAGAGAATTTACCTCTGAAAACGAAATGATGCCCTGGGCAATTTTTATGTAATACACACACGTAGTAATGTTTAGGAATTTTGACCACTGGCTGTATCTGGAGCTGAGTCAGCTGAATGGCAGCCCCCTCAGAAGAAGAAATATAGACACTTCCACTGCTGATGAGTCCAGAGATGCCTAAGATCCTGCCATCTTATACCTCTGATTTCATGAACTCTTCCAATGGCAACGCATAAATTCTCTCTTACCTAAAGTAGTCAGCATCAGTTTCTGTGGGTTCCAGTCAAATCAATTTTGAATAACTTGAAAGAAAGATGTTGATATTAGGCACATTAGTGTAGGTGGCTGAGTTAGGTACCAGTCAATCATTATCTCCTCTGTTCACTTGTGACTAGAGGGACAAGGAGGGAAGCTTTGCAGAAACATATAGGTATTTAGAACAATTGAAAATATCTTCCTCAGATTTTTATGATATGGGTTAGCAAGTCTCTGGAATATCTTAAAACAAGTATAATCTGCCCTTTCCTACTGTGATTTTGCATTTCAGATTCTGGACTATTTTAAATCTGAATCCTGCTCCCCAACTAAGGGGTGATGAGTAGAAAACAGAATTGCTCTGAGGTAACGGTAAATAACTTAAAATAAGAAATTGATGAAGTCACATCAAAAAACTCTTAGCTCAAGATAAAGAAAACTCAAGGAATTTATGTGACTCAGCTGAATAAATAGTTTTACTCAGTACAACTATTGTGCTAATGCTGTAGAAATTAAATTCTCTGAGATTCTTATATAAACATTAGGGCATTTATGAGAAAAGATCTGGATCCTTAAAAATAAGTAAAATTGCAATAAGAAATGGGCCAGAAAATTTGAAGTCTCATATCCTACCAGTAACAGCTTGAAAATATGACCCTCAAATTCTTTGACATTCCTGCCATTGAGACATAGGGTCCATATTCCCTCCCACCAAATCTGGACCCTGAGAATATTTGACTTGAATATGATAGAATTCACACTATGCTAGTTTCAGAGCCTCAGCCTGGGGAAAGTTGCAACTTCCACATCCTCTCTCTTGAGATGCTTGTTTTTGGGATCTGTTACCATCTCACAAGGAAGCCCCAACTGGACAAAGTGGAGAGATCATATGGAACAGCCTTGTGTAGAGGGTGTGGTCCACAACTATCATCAACCCCCTGAGAGGTGAGTGAAGATGCATCCAGATGATTCCAGCTTCCATATTTAAATCATAGGCAGCCTTTGAAGTCTGTGCTTCTGAAGCTTCAGAGCTCAGAAAATAGAGATAGTCTGCCTTCAGCATGACTTTTACAAATTTCTAACCCATAGAATCTGTATAATAAAGTGGTTGTTTTATGTCATAATACCTTGTAGTGTTTCTTTATGCAGCAATATTAACTGCAGCTCACCTACAAAAATCTTTACATGGCATCTTCTTGCAATCTTATGTTGAGTTTTCTTGCCATAAGTGAATAATAATCCATAAGAAAATGTAATTTTTCTCATATATTATTAAACCTCTGCAGACAATTTGAAGGTACTTAACTAAGAAGAAGAAGAAACCTGAAATTTAGATCAGACAGGATATATTGCAATGGATACAACAACTCAACTGAGATACTATATTCTGAGTTCAACAAGCAGCTAACGTTCCATGCTAGATTGACTAGACAAATCTGAACCAGTCATGACTAAGGCTAACTGACCCTGAAAGGCCAAAAGCAGAGAAAAGAATTTAAAAACACTAGGAGGAATAAGTTTTATGAATTCTATACCATAAATAGGATATTTTGTCCATACACTGCCTCATTCTTATACACTAGGAAAATCCAGTAGACTGTTTTCCCCCCTTGTCAAGGGAATCTTTCAAAAGTGCTTTTCCTTTCCTCCTTTCTTCATCAGCAATGATGCATTTTCTGATTTGGCCCAAAGGGGAGTCTGACGGGTCTAAGATAATCCATTTTCTTATCATTCACTTAAGCAGGGGCTGACTTTAATTGTAACTCTGGCTCCACATACGGCCCTTGGTACTTAATGTACAGTTATTGACTTAGCAAACACATTTTTCTTTTTTCCAATGATAGAGACCACGCAAAGCCAAGCCGTCTCACCTGTTGTGGGAACTCTATGCCAATAAGGTTCTGCCACTTGGATCACTGCCACAATCTAAGCTATAGAAACTAATCTCTTGGAGCCTTTCAAGACTAATGTAGACTAGTTTATTATGTTAATGATGAAAGTCTGACAGAACTAAGTAAGCATAAGTAGTAAATTCCTTACAGGCTTTTCAAAAATACATGGATGATAATTGACAGGAGTAAAATCTCACAATAAATGTAAGACACAGACACTTCAGTGAAGTTCCTGGAGATATATCAATCTAGGCTGGTCTGAGACATTCACTACAAAGGAAAGACACAGCCTATGTCTTCTTTGATGAAAAAGAACATTTAGTATCTCTTGTGCTTAGATGGATGATAAACATATTTGGATGCTCTTCTGCCACTTGTCAGATGAAAAAATTTTATGATTTAATGGAGGTCATCCATGGTTGACAGCTTCTAGGATGATTCCCAATGATCCCTGCCTCCTGGTGATTAAGTCCTTTTTAATCCCATCCCCTTGAGTGTGGACTGGATCTAGTAATGTGCTTCTAACAAATAGAATATTGCAAAATTGAAGGAATATCACTCCCATGATTAAGTTACCAAAAACATTTCTGGCTTCCTTCTTCCTCTCTCAGCTTTTCACTCTCATAAAGTCAGATACACTGTTGCAGACTGATCTTTGAAGAGATCCATGTGTCAAGGAACTAAAAGAGGCTTCTGGCCAACAACCAGAAAGTAACTAATATCTGCAGTCCAATAGCTCCCAGGAAACTGATGCTTACCAACAGCTACATGAGTGAACATGGAAGCAGATACAGATTTTCTCTCCATTCAAGCCTTCAGATGAGACTGTAGCCCTGAACAACAGCTTGGTTGTTCAAAAGGCATTGAACTAATAGACACAGTTAAGCTGTTTCCGGGTTCCTGACCCACAAAAACTGTGAGGTAAGTGCTTGTTGTTTTAATCCACTAAGTTTTAGGGTAATTTTTTAAATGTAGAAATAGTTAACTAATATACCTAAGATAGGCTAATGATCTGGTATTTCTGCTCCAAGTACTGTGTTACCTTTGATACTCAATATATCTGCAACAGACTAGAATATTATATGGCACCTGATCCAAACATACCGCACAGTAGTGTAACTGAGAACCCCAAGGTCAGGATTAATTTAACAAGGAGGTGATGTTGTTGTTGTTGGTTTTTCTTGTTTGTTTGTTTGTTTTTTTAAGAAAGAGCTCCTGGTTGTAAGGGAGCATATGACCAGTGGACTTAAATGGCAGCACGGACCAGATGTTTTCTGAAACTTCTGGGTAAGCACACGCAAAAACATTCCATCAAGAAGTATCTCCAAAAAGAACATAAAGACACAAATAGTTATAAACACAATGCCAGTACCTCATATTCAGCATACTGTGACTTCATGATATAATTACCAGTTGAAAATGGTTAAATATTTGAGCCTGACTTAGAGATGGCATCACACAGTATGGCAACACCAGCCATATGTGTTTTGCAGTAGTTTTAAAACCCTTCTCAAGGATTATCAGATAAAGGAGAAAAAACAGTCTTCCCATTGGCAGATCTTCAAAAACTGTACCTTGTTTTTCACTTTACCTGGAAGGGAGAGGTAGCCTCAGATCAAGATATATAATGGTTCTTAGACAGTGACTGATAGTTCAGTCAGATATCTAATAAAGGACTTTGAATAGCAATATTAGAGATTTTGTGAAAAGGAGTTTTGGTGAAAGAGCATGTTTCTGAGGATCTATGAATGGACTTAAAGCAATGCTACAAAAGTACTGGCTTGTGACAATAAGATTTAAAAACAAAAGTTTTTCACTGAAGGTGTCTTGAAAAGTACTGAAAAGAGTCTGAAAATATTTGTAATCTTCACCAAAAGGCTACCATTGCAAAATAGCCTCTCCAAATTCAGAAGGACAGGATGAGACTCTGGATGTCCAATAGCCTTCTTTCCCAACCAGGCCAGTGTTGATACAATAAGCCCAAGAAACAAAGTGGGTAAAGGGGCAGAGATGGGATTTCTGTAGGTTTAACCATATGGAATTTCATCTCAACAGGCTTGGCTTGGTCATCCCTCTTGCTGAGACCAATTCCAAACCCATAATATGACACCATGCATTAAGGGCCCAGACAGCCCTCTGGTAGTAGGTTGATTATATGTGACCCTTTCTGTCA